TACTACACGTTGCCCGGCTTCAGCTTTGATTGTATGTTGAAACTTACGAAAGTTCAACTTTCACTTTTGGATGATTATGAGAAAGTTCTCTTTTTGGAGTCCGGTATGCGCGGAGGCTTGGTGCAGGCCAGCAAGCGTCACGCGCGTGCAAACAATCCCGAGGCGCCTGGATACAACGCCGACGAACCCAGCACGTCCCTCATATACTTAGATGGTGATTATAAAATATAAATTATATATTGTCGTGTATAAATTGATCAATTTTTTCACTTTCTAGCAAACAATTTGTACGGGTACGCGATGTGTAAATATATACCGATTAGCGATTTYGTATGGTATCCAGGAAACCCGGAAGTTGCACTCGACCAGCTACAATGGATGCGCGAGACGGATGACATTGGYAGATTTTACGAAGTTGACATTTCGTATCCTCAACACCTACACGCCGTCCACAATGATATGCCGTTCCTGCCACACGCTAGCATACCACGCGGATCCACTGTGCGAAAGTTGATGGTAACATTTATGCAAAAAGAACACTACGTGGTTCATTATATGAATTTACAACAAGCCATGGCCCTCGGCGTCGTAGTAGAAAAAGTGATTATTTATATAATAATAATTATTATTATTATGTGCATACTCATCTTATTACTTTTTTCGTGCATTTCAGACGCACCGAGTATTGGARTTCCGACAATCACCATGGCTGGCCCCGTACATAAATCTAAACACCGAATTACGTAAGCGGGCGACTAACAAATTCGATGAAAAGTTTTTTAAAGATTTAAACAATTTGGTGTTCGGTATGTTATTCATAAATTTTGCGGAAAAAAAATATTTTTTCTGAACTTTGAACTACTTAAACTTTACATAACGTCTACTGTGTGTATGTAGGGAAAACCATGGAAAACATGCGCCGTMGACTSGACTTKGAGCTTGTTTCGTGCCCGCGCAGAATGCGGAAGCTCATAAATCGACCRACGTTCAAATATTGTACGACTTACAACGAAAATCTCTCGGTGGTCACCCAACACGGCAAAGAAGTGGATTTCTGCAAGCCTATCTACATAGGATTTACCGTACTAGAACTTAGT